CCCTTTTTTGAGGCAGGGGAAGTAATGCTACTATAACTACAAATAATACTATTTATCCCCTCATCTGGCATCCCACTCATCCTGTATCGATTTTCAAATGTAAGTGTTCTTGGGTCCAAGTCTGATTTTTGTCCCTTAACTGTGCAATCTATATACAGAGCTTGTTAAATCACAAATAACTCCACTGTGTTCATTGGATTCTTCAGAGAATGTGGACAAAATTGCAATTTTAGTTTTCTAAGATGGATTTTCAACAGACCTGGTCAAAGTATTGCATACATACACTTTAATTTTGTTTAAATCCTCTCTCTGTCTACATGCCTTCATTATTACTTATATTGATCAACTGAGTAAAATATAATAATTAAGTTTATCAACAGTTTCAAAAGCACTGTTTATTAGGCGCTGCTCTGAAACTATCAAATTATTTTTCCTCTTAGATTACGGACAAAATAAGGTTTCAATACTTTTCAGAATATTGATGCAAATAAGAAAGGTCTCTTATTGCTCAGCATACCCATCCTCATTTGCTAAATAGGTTTGGACATTTCTGTAGCCCTAAAAAGAAAGTTATCTTACTGACATTACAATAGGATACTGCAACAGCAACAACAAAAACAAAAATGCATATTACAAGGCACATCTATTTCTCAGTCTACACAATGACCATTATGATTCCTCTCTTTAAAAATGGCTGCAAAGAATTAAGGCATGAGATGCCTTTTAAAGTTGTACTGATGTCACTCAATGACTTATTATGTGATAATTCACACTTAATTTATGCCCTCCTTGAGCTATCACAAATAGTTGAGATGATAGGAAAGTTCTCACCTGGGACAGGATGAGATGTGAACAATCACAGCCAGGTGGACATGCTGAAGTGCAATTTGCCAGTTCTTGGCCTGGCAGAAAAATATGCTGGCATAACATTTGCTGTCCTGGTGGCCAAGATCTATTCTGCCCCAGGAGTGAGGCTGGTAAGTGGTGCCATCCTTTTAGTTTTAAGAAGGGACAAGTTAGAGGAAGTGATGTGTAGATTCCTAAAATTTCAATTCATCTCCCACCATGCCTCCCCCGCTGTTAAAAAAAACATGAATGTGGGGTGGGGCAGGGATGGATGAGTGCAGATGGGTGCTTGGAATGGTGGGTTGAGACACCAGTCAACTTGTCCAACAGGTCACAGGTACAGGGGTGCTTCCTGCCTGTGATCTGTCAGTTGTGCTATTTCTGAATCCTGGTCTAATGCTCTTTTGAAAGACCTCTATTCTGTGTTGACAAAAAGGTGAGCTGAAAGGTCAGAGGCACAGAAGTGTGCAGTGGGAAGCATGTAGAAGAGCTCCACGGAGCTCCCTTCTGTTTCACCTGCACCCCTCCTCTGAGCCTATGATATGCCCACTGGAGTGAGAGGAGCAGAAGAGAGGAATGAGGGAAAATGGGAGGGAGGGACTGATAATGAGCAAGCTCCATCCTCCACTAGTGCTTCAAAGAGTTGCAGTGCTGGCAGTGAATGGCTATGACTGATGGCACCTGGAAGTAGTTCTTGGAGTGGGCAAAATGGCATAGGAGTAGGCATTTGTTGCCTCCCCCAACAAAGTAATAAGGCAGTGAAAAGTGTAGCCACGTGAAACTCTTTGAGGGCAGAAGAAGTAGAAAATCTCTAATATACTCACTGGTGACAGAACTGGCAGAGGTTGTCTCTCTTTCCCAGTTTAAACTGACCTTCTGCACAGCCTGGAACTAGTGCTTTCTCAAGAGAACACTAGTCCTGCTTTTTAAACAAAGGTCCAACACTTTTTCAAAGAAGCACCAAGGATCCTGTGTAAGACCTAAGAAAAACTTTGGAATAGACTGATCTTGCATTATGTGGATAAATGAACGCAGGGGTCTTGTCTCTCCTTCAGCTGAAGCCAAAATGGTTACTGAGTGAGTGTACCACCATTAGCCTAAAGAGGAGCCAGACAGATCCTACCTCTGACCAGTTCAGCAACTACATCATTAGTGAAGCATGCTAGATTGTGTCTGTGGCAGAAATTGTACCAGGAGAAGACAGAAAATATTACAGTTGAAACTGAAGATGACTTTAAGATGCTTTGCTCTGGCCTAGGAAAGAGATGAGGACAACCTGGGGGGAGGATGGGAGGATGAGCCCTAAGTTGTGGAAGGTGGAAAGAGAGAGAAAGAATGAAGTTCTGTGGCCAACCCTCCAAAGGCATAATGGCTAGCCATATGAGTGGAAAAGAATAGTATTCTGCACATGAGGAGTGTTACTCTTTTCTCTAGCTGGCATGCATATAAAGAGTTTTGGTTCAGACAGAAACCAAAACAGACTTGACTGTTTTTTAAAACAAATTTGGGAATCAGGCACTGATCATTCCTACTGAATGTTAAACATGAAACTGTGTCAATGTCTATGATATAATATCGGTCTCTATAATATATTGAAATATATGTAAAATTGACCTGGCCATTTAAAACTAGTTGGCAGGTAAATTGGGGTTCTTGGGTTTACCACTAGAATAGGAAGATATTAAAATCACATATATTAAAATCACAGGTATGGAAAAAGTGGCTTTGATGTGATAGATAGGCAATTGTTTTAATTTGGCAAGTGATACACCGGAAAATGAATTAATGGGCTGTTGAATATGCAAAGTCTCAGGGCTGTCCAAAAGATTTGGCAAAAAAACTCAAGATGGTGGCTGCAATGGTGTAGTTGAAGCTCTGCCTATTTTTTTATGTGTAAAGTTGTCATCTTGACCATTTTTGACCATATTCTATGGATACCCCTACAAAGTCCTTTCCTGGAAATCAGGTATGGAACTAAGCTCATATTAATCCAGATCAAATAATTCCACCAATTCTGAAAGAAACTGCAGCTCCTAGGTTTGAAATCAGTTTCTCACTGACCCCAGATATAGGCCATGGAGCATTCCATTTCTGCTGCATTTCTTAGAAGCTGAAGGAAGTTCTGCGCAGTTGGATCTACTGCTGGGCAGTTTCTATCTCATATTTTGCATTATTAAACTCTGCTACATGCTGTTCTGTTACAGCCATGCACGTAGCAGCACGTATCAGGTAGGATTAATGGTAGGACTGCTGGGAAAGATCTGATGGCAAAATGTATTCCAACGTCTGTGTAGTAGAAAAGAGGAACTAGCAATATCAAGCAAAGTTTAATGTAGTGGAAGTCTGCTGGTCCCCCTGTTTGTAGGATGGGGTAGGATATGAGGTCATAAACTAGTTGCTTTTTCAGATGAGATTTGTTTGATAGACACATTTTTGAATCAGAAAGAAGCCTTGGCTATAAGTGAGAAGATATAAAAAATGTTAGTGTACCCTATAAAAATAATTGAAAGAAATAATGGATTTTCCCTGATAATCTGGCTGCAGTTTTGAAAATATTTTGACCACAGAAAATTCCTGTTCCAGGTTCTTTCCAATAATTAGAAAGAAAAGTAATTTACTGATTTAATTATTTGGGAGCAAATAATTTCTAGAATTTAAATTGTTCTCCAGACAGACACAAAAGAGGGTGATTTCTACTGTTTTTAATTAGTTCTTGGATTATTGAAGTGTTAAATCGCTAACCACTCTGATATATTGAATAATTACTCCAAATATGGCGCTTTGTAATATAATCATAAATCTATAGATAGTTCATAATATAATACCTCTTGCTTAAATATTTCAAAATATTGATAGCCTAGTTGGAGGACATCAAGAACATCATCTCTTCTGTTTGGATATTCTCAACAAGTGGACAGAATATTAATAATAATAATACCTCCAGTGACAGATACCTGCAGTGAAATGCTACAATTTAAGCTGAGTCACTGCTATGGATTTCCATGCAATTGTTGGTTTGAAGCCCAAGTATAATACTTCAGTTGAATTGAGTTGTGAATAATATTTCAAAGGGATATTATTTATTAGAGAAAATTGGTCCCTTAAAAAAATTGAACTACAATTCTCCAGTTATTCCAGTGTCATCTGGCAAGAAGACACATCAGAATCTGGTTTGAGAAGTGTATCTTCATGATCTTAACAATCACAGTTTAGAACTTTTCAGCTGTGAACATTCTTGTTGAGGATTACATTCATAGTCTACACTCTTGGGTTTTCTTCAGTTTTTATAAATCTTTTACCGTTTACATAACTGATATGGCTTTTTCCTCAGCTTTACTTTACAAATCTAGGAATTTTTTTTCATTTATTTGTTATCTAAAAATAAGAAGAGTTCACATTAAAGAATTTTTATGTTAAGTGCCCAATAAGTGATCTGGAAACCTAATCTAATAAAGTTCATAAATGATATTCTCTCAATTCATGACGCTGCTTTGCTTGCTGTTTAAAACTGCAATCCAGCACGCCAAACATTTGCCACTGACAGTCAAAAACAATTTTTTTTCCAGAGAGAGAGAGAGAGGTGGTGAGGGTTGAGAGAGTAATGTTCTTCAGGCAAGACCATTCCTGCAGCTGTTGTGTACATTAATCCACAAAGCAGATCTCCAAACTCTAAATATAGCCAGCCGTATCATTTTACATGACACATTCTCTCTCTCTCCCCATTTCACTCTCATACACACTCGCACACATTAGATTTTAAATAAGAAGTAATATTAAGCAGGATTTGATGGAAATAATATACATGATCTGTGAGGCTTCATAATTGGGAATTATGAAATAATAATTTCAACTATGTTAGAAACTATGGGCATAAAAAATAACATTTAGCACCTGTGCCATTTCTACAAATCAACATTCTGCTCAGAATAACTAAACACGCATACAAGGAATTTGGAGAAACCCCCTTCAACGCATACGAAGAAACATGCTTTTCATATTCTGAAGATCATTCTGCTTCTCTTTAAACTGGTTTGCCTCTGTGTAATAGATCTGCAATTATCAGCAATCTGACATATTATGGATCCCACCAACCCCCTGGGCACAGGTGCAGTCTCATCAAAACACCATCCGCTTTTGAAAATTAAATATGTTACCTTTTCTAATTCCTCCAGATGTTGAAATCCAACTCTGGCACTCTGGCAGAGTGACAATGATTCCTAAGTAAGAGATTAGAGTGACCAAAGTGATGGTGCTCCTTCAGGTTCTTTGGAACTGAAATAACTTGGAGTCCATCAGGCAAAAAAAAAAAAAAAAAGTTAACCTTAGGTTTTTAGGGAAGATGGCTGTAAGAAGCTGGACAACCTGTCACGACTGAAGCAATAGCATTTGTCAGTTTGCAGGTCCCAAGTTATTTTGAGACATACAAACCATGTGCCTGTGAAACATTTCCCTTCATTGGACAGGGTAATATTGAGCAAAGGGATTTCACTGCTGTAGCAGCAGCTACGGATGGGGGATTTGAACATTTTCTCTCCCCCCCCCCGGGGAATATTTTCCCTCAGTGCTTCAGCATTCTTGGCAGGACTCATTCATGAGAAAATACAAACTGGGTTTGGTATAGTTTAATGCAGAGTCATGCCAAATCAGGTGGTTTTATTTGAAAATTAGACAATAGTAGGGTTTTAGCCCTTCTTCTTCTTCTTCTTCTTTTCTTCTTCTTCTTCTTCTTCCTCCTCCTCCTCCTCCTCCTCCTCCTCCTCCTCCTCCTTGCTCAGATTGTATGTGAGACCTAACCTTATGTCAGATTAAATTCCATTTTCAAAGCTCAGATTGTTTCAATTAGGCTTTCCCAATCCAGAGCTTCTCTTTAGCCCAGCCACCATATTGGTTGGGAATCCTGGAACTTTGGATGCTAAGACATCTGGAAGACACCCATGCTTCAGCTATGTCCCTACCATTTGGGGGATTATGGATTAACATATCACTGCCTTGCCAGACATGTCCTGGTGAAGAGAGAGGCACATCGCCCTCAAACAGTGGAGGAAGATAAGAGTCTCCAGACATAATTCCCTAGTGAAACAATTTAAAAATACTTTTTCTCAAGAATCCACAGCAAATCTTTTTACTTGTTGCTTTTAGGAACATAGTATAGAACTTGGGGTGAAGGTTTGGGGAGAGTGGGGGGAAGAGAAGTGTTGACCTTGAATTCAAAGTTGTTTTTACACGGAGAGCCAGTTTGGTGTAGCGGTTAAGGTGTCAGGCGGGAGACCATGAGTTCTAGTCCTGCCTTGGCATGAAGCCAGCTGGGTGGCCTTGGGCCAGTCACTTTCTCTCAGCACTAGGAACCAGGCAATGGCAAACCACTTCCAAAACACTTTGCCAAGAAAACTGCAGGGACTAGTCCAGGCAGTTGCCAGGAGTTAAAAACTGATTCGAAGGCACAGATGCACACAAGATTCGCCATTTTTTTAACCTCCATCTTTCTTGGAATATTCAGTTGTGTAGTCACATCCACCATCTTGACTTTTTGACCCTGCCAAGCTAATATATACCATTTAGGTGGGTAAACATGGCTATGTTCTTATCTTGTAGTGGCAGTTCCTGATATTACAAGTCAAACCAAACACTTTCAAAAACCAAACACACGTAATTTGGATGTTCAAACATGCCAACCTTAAAGAGGATGATTCTGATTGTCAACACGCCCACTAATCAAA